GATTCATTGCTTGTTAAATTTCCCCTAGAAAATACACACACACACACACACACACACACACACACACAGCAGGAGCAGATCAGCAAAGACACCAGCAAAAGAAAGATAATTTGAGATACTTCTAGGTAGCAGTTGTAAAATTAAAATAAGCAACTCATTAAATTATCCATAGAGTGAAAAGAAAGCTGTAAAAATAGATATTTTTTTGGCAAGTCACTGCTGTTCAGAACAAATTTAGTCTTAAGCTGAGTTTTTAAATCAAATGATATCAATTCATATTCATTAGAATCACTTAAACAGTAGCCTCGTTTGTTCTAATTAAAAGCAAAAATTATCTTTACTGGCCTTTGGTAGAAGTATATTTATTTAAAAACAAATTCAGTTACACATAATTTTAGTAGACAGATTGTAAGCAATATGATCAAGTCAATGTTATCTGAGCAAGTTGGAGCTTGGTCCCAAGATCACAGAATTAAAAAACAAAAGCCCTTTGTAAGGCAGATTCTCATATTGATTGATTTTCCCCTTATTTTTATATGTTAGTTTTTGTGGCTGGTCATCTATTTTGTGGTCATCCAGTTCCTTGCCTTCTCACACTGCTTGCTTCTAGTATGCTGTTTCTTACTAAAGCTTCCCCTAGAGGACAGGCCAGGAAAAGGAAAGAAACTGAATTCACCAGCTTCTTTTCTTATTAAGAATTTAGATCCGAGATTTGATAAGGAAAGAGCCTGGCAAATGAAAAATAAAGCTTATGTATGCTTATTTAAGATCTTCTCAAAGCCTTCTTTCCAATTTATACTGATAAACAACTGACAAATAGCATTTTGTAAGCCAACTAATCACTTGCTTTTAAAGTCCGCATTTATTGCCCTGACCATACAAATTAGATGATGTTTTTAATTAACTAGTACTCTGGTTCAATCAAATAAAAGTGCAATTTGCAAAGAAAATGTCATAATTATATCTTCCATTTATAGAATGCCTGCTTTCCAGTTTGCAAAGCCCTTTCAGATATTCTCTTCTATAAAATTGCTGTGTTGTAAGGTCTTTACTATCAATGACACTGAAAAAGCTACCGGCAGGACGCATTTTTTTTTTCTCATCTGAATCAATATTCCCTTTTGGGGTGGCTAAACCAAGCTAAAATCTCTCATACAGAAATATTAATATGCAAGACCAGGGAGTACAGAAGTAGGCTAGGTTACTGCTAAATTTTTAAGGTTAGAATCCCCACCCTCCCCCATCATCTCTCATCTGCCTGATTCCAAACAGGGAAATTGAAATTTCTTGCCTTCATGATGAAGAGCTCTATGTAAATATACATCAACAGTGAACATCAGGTGCACCATTCTTAAAGTGACATTCATTTCCACAACACTTTTAGGTGAAGCCATTTCATCTTACAAATCGAGGATGAGAGTGTGTGTAAGAGGATGACGTGACACTTTTGAGGTTTATTTAAGTTGTTAAAAATCTCGAGGTTACAAGAATTTCCCTCCTTGTCTCCCGCAGATACGAAGTCTACAATTTTCTCAGTTCAACTGTCAGATAAATTGGCAAGTCGACTAAAAGGATAATATTCCCTTAACGATGCATTCATTTGAAGCCTTAGCAACTGTATTAGGCAGCAGCGAGTATTCGCTAGCAAGGCATGGTGCGGGGAGAGGGAACTCTGCAATTTAGAGTGACAGATGATTTTTTTCCCATCCATCAAGCCGCCTCAAAATGTCACAATATTTACACCTCTTCCTTGGTGAATTAGAATCCAGAGACAAGCAGACAGAGAAAAGAAAAAAAAAAAAAGAAAGAAAGAAAGAAAAAAAAAATCCGACCCGTTGCCTCTTTGCCTCTTGCCTGGGGAAAAGCAGGCGTTGCACCTTTAAATTCTGCCCCTCCATTCCCTGTTTCCCCCCCCCCCTTCCCGGGATTTTGCAATAAATCTCCCAGTTCTGCGTTCAGCCCTGCAGATCCGTATTTAAAACAGCACCATCTGGGAAGGGTGGGTGGCAATGGTGATGCGGGCGCCTTGGAGTTCCTTTGCAGCACGCTTGGAATTGCATCAGACTGATCAGAAATCCCCCCGCCCCCAAACCCAGCCCCTCCCGCCACGCTCCCCTTCCAGCCCCTCCCCTCCGCTCCCTTCACGTAGATCTCACTGAGAAAACGACTGGATCTCGGAACAATCTGTGCCCCATTCGCTGCAGGCTTCTCCGTAAACCCTGCCCTACGCTCCCTTTGTGTTCCGAGCAGCCTATCACCGTCATCTGATCCAAGTGCCTGTTTTTTTTTATTTTTTCCTTCTAAATTTCCACAATATCCTCGCGTTGCCTATGAATCCGTCATTTCCACCTGCGCAGAGTTGGTATTCTTTATTTCCTTCGCTAAAATAATCTTTTGAGTCTTGAGTTTCGGAAATGGGTTTTTCCCTAACTCCCCTCACTGCCACCCAATCCCTAGCCTCTTAATTAAGAAGAGCTGATCCGGGGAGGAGTCCAGAACCACCAAGCCCTAAGGCGAAAACTGCCACTGGGCAAGGCTCAGTGGCCGGAACAAAGGGCCCAAGAAGTGGGTGGGGGTGAGGGTTGTAGAAGTGTGGAGAGGTTGGTGGCCCCCGCCCAGGGGCGCACAAGTCCCTGGGCTCCCAGAGGAGAGGCGGGACGACAACGCAGTCGCACGCTCCAGCCGCTCAGGGTCCCTCGGGGGGCGCCGGCGGGGCGGAGGAAGTGGAAGGGAAGGCTGGGCAGCTCCGAGTCCGCTCCATCTCCAAGTCCCCCATCTCCACCCACTACCAGCCTCGCAGCCCACCAAGGTGGCTAGAGCAGATCCGAGGCTAGCCGGCCGCCCTCCACCCGCGCCTCCGGACGCAACCTCGCCCTGGCTGGGCGGTCTGCGCGCCTAGCTGATTGGTGGCTCTGTCCAGCCGCCGCACACGGAGCTACGAGTGTTCTTCTCCACCGCCTCCAGCCGCCCAGGCCCCCACCCCCGGCCCTTTCCCTGGCTCTTTGGTCCAGAAAAGACCTTCTACTCCCAAGCGGAGGCCCCCCTTTTCCCTGAGTTACCCTGACTGACTCGGACCTGGGCTCAATGAGGCATCCGGCCCGGCGGGGGAGCGGAGCGCGGTCTCGGCGGCTCCCCTTCCCTTGAGAAAGCCGGAGCCTTCCAAGCCAGCGCCCGAAACTCGCGGGGAGGGAGGACAGAAAGAAGAAGGGGGGAAAAACACCCAGAAAGAAATATCCAGCGAGGAACAGGGCGACGGAGAGGAAGAGATAGAATGAGGGAGGGATGGAGGCAGGAGGAGGGGGCGGGGTGGAAGAAGGGGGGCGGGAAGGAGAGAGGGAGGGGGAAAGAGGGGAGGGAGGGAAACAGGGAGAATGAATCCTCACTAGAAGAGCTGAAATTACCTTGATTCATTTCGTGTTGGAGATTTAGCGTTACCTCCTTCCCTCTCCTCAACCTCCACCTCCCCTTTCCCCATGGCACACTACCTCCACCGCCAGATTCTAAATGATACAAAGTCAAATTTTTGGAAATCGAATATTGTGCAAAAGCTTCATAATTAGTAATGAATTTACTGTACGCGCGCGCACACACATACACACACACACACACACACACACACACACCAGCAAAAAGAACGGGAAAGAGGGAGGGGAAGGGGAGAAAAAGAAAGAAATCTTACATTCGAATCAGACATTTGCAGGTCCAAGTTAACTAAACTCATTATATCCGCAGGAAGACTGAGCTCCCCACCTCCCCACGCTTTGCCCCAGGGCTCTCACCTAGGGCAATTTAAACTGGGCAAATACCAAGAAACAACCTCCTCTCCTGCCCTCCCTCTACTTCCTCCCCTCCAGCACGCGTCCTTTCCTGAAGATCGAGTATCAAAATAGCTCAAGAATTGGGGATGCAGGGGTCCCCGCCCCGGTGCTTACCTCCTCTGCGGCTTACACCACCCCGGTGGCTAGATCCTGGAGATAAACACTTGCATTTCCCAAAGTTAACCCAGTATACCAACCCGGAGCTTGCCAAGAGTCTATTCCAGCCTACACCGCTAGGAAGCCAACTTCAGCGAGCTCAATGAGGGGACCAAACTGGGGCTCGCTTTCCAAACGCTCCGCTCCAAAATCTGACTCTCTCTCCAGCCCCGATCTCTGTGTGAGTCGAACCTCAGAAAAGACGCTTTTTAAGGGCGACACAGGGTTGGCTTGACAGCGGGGGAAAGGAGGCTACCTGGAGTACCACCACCTCGGACAAATCCGTTGGCTCTGTCCAAGGTGCTGAATAGACTCCGTTCGCCGGGATCACACACCCGGCGCAGCAGGAGGAAAAGGCTAAAAAAATCTCTAATTAAGTAACACTTGATATTGCTCTAGACGGTTTTTCTTCCACTTCCTTACGTTTTGTCACGTGCGGATGGCTTTGCCAAAGCCATCCTGTTAATAGTTGATCACATGTTGATGAGACCCTTTTCTTCTATGAGATTACCCATTTCATTACCGGAGATAAGCATTCCTGACTGATTTCTCTCCCCCCAACCCCACCCCCATCCTCACCTAAACTCTCAGTCTCTATCCCACTCTTACCCCACTCCACCCCCTAGCCCCAATCCCTAACAGCATTATTGTTTTTAGATGGAAATTAACCCCCTGGCGATGTCAATTACATGCCTACATATAAATCATAGAATATGCTCATACACCATACACATAAAGGCAAAGAATGGAATACAAGACGGCTGGGAGACAAGCATCAGCCTTGAACAACCAACATAACACACACACACCCCCTCCAGTTCCAAGTTTGTTCCACGCAGTTCCACATTGCTGTGTTAAACCTCAAATGATTCCAATTAAAGTTGCACTGTGTAAAAACCCGATTCCCCTGGCCTGAGTAAGCTGCTGTTCTTTGGCGTGTGAAATGCTAGGAAGAGCCGTGATATGCCCGTTGTTAAGCAACATGTCAAGATTTTCAATTATAATGCAGGGTTTATTGCTACTCACCATTGTGCCTTTGCTGTCCTGGAGACTCAAGTGTCTTAAAATCTCGTCTCCCCAACAGATGCTGGAAGGTAATGTGTCTTGTTTGAAGTCATCATGTGAGAAGTTCGGCTTTGCTCAGTGGATCGCCCACCACTTGGTGTGACTTATGAATCTAATAACCCTTTGCAATATCCGCAAGCTTAAACTCTCAACCACCTTGGCGACTACAGAAGACAAAGCAACTGGCATCGATGTTGAAAAACCTATAGATTTACGCAAACGCCCTCACTCCGAGAGATACGTTTCCCTTAGAGTTCTTACGTGATTCTAATGAATGAGCTAGGTTACCAATGACTGCCCAACTGCCCTGCTATATAGCGGGTGCTTCCTGAGGCTGCCTCCTCACCGCCAGTCACTGGGTCCTGGCACACAAAGTTCCCAGAGAAAGTGAGGAGTTTCAGGGTACCCCCATAAAAATAACCCAGCCTGCACACCCCACTCTTGCCCTCTGCTCAGGTCACACCTGGGGCTCTGGCAAAGCTGAGCTCGGCTCGGGAGATTTCCCTGTCGTCAGGTAAGAAAACCTTCGCCTTTTCAGGCTAGGGCGGGAAGACCGCTGGGGAACTTGTTGCTTATCAGCGCCAGCGGGCTACCGCTTTAATAAGAATACCAGAAAAGCGCAGCGGGGAGGGGGCGAAGTTGGGTGGGAACGACGACGACTATCCGTGTTGTTTACGTGACCAACTCCTTGTGACTCCCTCGGTAAAAAGGAAACTTCTTAGAAAAGTTCCTGCCCCTCCCCCTCCCCCACCATGACTAAGGGTCTCCAGCTGATGAGGTCGTGAGTGATGATCAAATGGGGAATGGGGGATGGGCGGAAGGGGGGAGTAAGTGACTTGTCCTTGGGAACAACAGCATGCGTCGAAGCGCGCATCAGCCCCGCAACTTTCCCTTTTCCTCTTAGGGACTGATGACTAGGCGAGAGGCACCGGGGCGAGCCACTAGTTGCCCACAGGAACCTGTGTAAATCGAGCTCTCGAGCGGCTGAGTTGAATGAAGTTATGATTGCGTTTGCTCTAATGGGTTATGGCTTCTCAAATGTGAATTAACAGCCCCTGTGCGCAGCTAGGTCGGTAAGGCAAGCCACGGAGAACTGAGCCGCGGGCAAAGGCGGGGAGGAGAGGAACCGCGGCAGGCTCCAGGTTCCTCGCTCTCCTTTCGCTCAAGGCTTCTTGCCCGAAGTCGCTTCCGCATCATCCCGGGGCTCCCCAGCTGCCAGGGTACCCGGGTGAGCGCTGGCTGGGAGCGCCAGGAGCTGCGGCTGCGTTTGCGAACATCGGGAGGGGGCTCTCCCAGGAAACCCCGCGGTTAGCACCCGCGCTTCCCTACCACTGGCTGCTAAGTGGAGAGGTCACGTGTTGGCGGAAAGTAAGTTGGAAGGGAAAGGATGAACTTCGAGAAGAAAAAGAAGAAAAACCACACAATAAAACAAATCCCCCCACACACACACCCCGAGTGTAAAATCAAGAGGAAGGCAGTCAGGGTGGGGGAAGGGCGCCACTCTCTGCTGGAGACCTGGGAGAACTCCGGAAATCTCAGGAAATAAGCAATAACTCGAGCGCTGGCAACATCCCCCAGCGTAGGGAGGCGCTAGCCCAAGGTATCTTTCCACTGAAGCTATCCTTTGCCTACCCCCCCCCCCCCAGCCATCGCCTGCAAGGCCGAGCCGAGGAACTGAGGACGAATGTAAACCAGTTGTTATGGAGATGCCGGTAGCTCTGAGGAGCACGATTGCCCTGGGAAGTCCCCAGACGCTTTTCAGGTTTAGCCGTTTTGGCATCGACACCACGATTTTACTCTCCATCCAGAGTTCCCACCAAGGGGAGTCCACCAACGGCGTCACAGGCCCTGGCCGTGGCGCTATTGACTGCAGGGATAAGGCTGAGAGATACTGCAGAAGATGGTGGATAGCCCTTAAGTTTCAGACCACCCAGCCCTTGCCAATTTTTAGTTTCTTTATTCCAATCAGAAGTACTGTATTTTATTTTCATTCGTACTTCCTGGGGTAATAAAACCAGAGTTTCACTGTAGGACGACTTATATGCAACAGAACATTAATATACAGTAACTGCTACAAGGTCCTGCTCCCCTCCCCCTCCCTCCTATCCTAGAAATGCCTTCCTTCTGAAAAAAAAAAAAAAAAAGCTTTACTTCCTAATTCTATACATGGGCTCTGTTCCTTGGAGATTTTATTGGTATTGTATTATTAATATTCACAGTAAATCCAGTGTTGAGTTCATACATACCTTAATAGAGATGTTTCCAGTTAACCCAGCTTATGCTAGGCTCCAGCCAACGTGCACATACAAATGCTTCCTGGACCTCAGTAGGGTCAGTTCCATACATGCCTGGTTCCTTGAGACCTGAGGTGGATCATGATAAAAGAATGCCCGACACCCTCAGAGTCACCAAGGCAACAGTTCCCTCCAACTGAAAGGACTCTTCATATTGTCCACAAATGGCTACTTTTTGTCCATCCATGAATTAGCCAGCAGATGCTGCCCTAAGACTAGGACAGCTGGCATAAACCATCTTCTGAGATCTTGGGGTTCAGGCTTTGTGGGCTAAATTTGTTTCCTGAGAATGCAATTAATAATGCTGTTATTAAGTTCTTTTGCTTATTGACAAATTCAGTGATTTGAGTACAGATCTGATATCTTGAAACAACAGAAATGATCATTATGAACATACTCATTCCCTATTGTCATCCATGTGATACATTTGTCTGACTTTGTCAACCACTTGTAGACTATATAGGGACTATTCTCTGATGGCTCCTTATTCTGAAAATTAGTGCCATTTTTTAATCTTATAGGGGGATACCCTTAATTATTGGCTCAGGTATCTGAGGATTCAGGACATGAATGGTTGATTATATTTGAATTATCTAGACAACACGATTGTACTGAGTATATTTTCCAAGGAATACTTTTGAACATTGCCCTGATTTCTTAAAGCCATTATTGAAACATATAACTTATGAACCAAGATGGGTAATGGGAGTTGCTCTATAATGAGATTTGCTATAGTGAGTTGTGGAGAAGGGTGAAAAGATGGTAAGTGCCACATATATATTTGTTTTCCCCTCTTAATTTCATAGTGATGTGAAAGAGAATTCTCTTGGTACATTATCAGTTCTCCAGACTTTTATCTCTCTCTATTCACATATTTCCTTTTTTTTTTTCCACATCTGCAGAAATCTAGTGCCAAACATCAGCAAAGGTTGCAGTCATTTCTTTTGTTACGATAGATGACAAGCAGCGGACCTGCTGCAATTTTAATCTTGGGAGCATTTATTCCTGAGGTCATATCATTTTTTCCTCACACAACCCTCATCAGCTGTGATATGAATATCACACCTCTCTAGGTTCATCTGACCCTATTCATTTTTAGCAGTGGTAAGAACATTTCAAACTGAATGGTAAACAAGTCTTGTGTCTTGAAGATCACTACCTAATAATGTAGCCAAACTTAAAGCAAGATGTAGTAACACAACCTAAAAGGATTTTTGCTTTATTTGATGTTCACGAATGGTTTCCTACCAATGCTACAGTTAAAAAGTTGTTCTCTGCCTGTATTTTTATAAAGATAGGTTAAAAAAAATTAATGAGAAAGATCTTATTGAGAGTGGGAGGCAAAGGACATGCATAAATAAGATGTGTAGCACATCTCAGAATTAGTGGGAGAGGGGTAATGAAACAGAAATCTACAAAATCAGAAATGAGAGAACTTTTTCTTAGAGAATTAAGGATGCTTGGAATATCTCTTTGAGACAAAATCTACTCTCTTGATTTTTTAAAGGGAAATTTAGCATATTTATTTTTTAAAGGATGGTTTGGGGATTTTTTTCCTACATAGCAAGCATATGTGAATGAAATAGTATACCTGTTCTCCCCTCCCCACTACTCTTATCAAATCTATTTGGTTATAGTTAATTGCCAAGTTCTCCATTTCACTGTGGGTTTGATACATTATTTTCTTCCTTCTTTCCTACTACTACATCCTTTCCTGCTTCCTCAGTATCTATTCTGTGCTACAGATTTGATAAAGGATAGTGATCCATATACTAATAATTCCCTAAAGCATCCCAGAATCTCAGAGTACAGTACTTGGTTAATTGTTGCCAACTGTTAATAGTGCCCCCCCACACACCTTCCCTGCCCCTAGTTATTACCTCAGGATGACTTGCCCTAATCCACAAAGAACAGTATTTGAAGAGATGCTTCAAATAGTGGCATAATTGCTGTCTTGGAGCCTTAAAAAACAGGTAACAAAAGATTTCTGTTTATGATATAAGAAGTGATTCCGACCAGGTAGGAAGAAAGATTGGCTCTCTTAGTCACTTCCTGATCTCTAATGGTTCTCCACAGGCAATAGGAGAAGAGGCAAAGAATCACGATGCACAATTTGGAAAGCTTTCTGAAAACAAGCATAGGCAATGAATGCCAAGAACCTAGTGTCGAGCTCATGTTTAAAAAGAACTCAAGGAATCTTCCATGTATCAAACCTAGTTTAGTTAGAAAGGAAACAATCAAAGTAATAAAAAAAAAAAGCAAGCAAGATAAACTTGCTGGGGGAACTTGGGATTTAGTTTACAATAACCTATCTGCATTCTTGAGTCTGAGAGGTAAGCATGAAATAGAAGATCTGGATATGAATTAACTCAGTTTCAGAAAACCAGATAACTCCATAATGAGGCTAAAGCAAGATCACATGGAATATTGAGGGGAGAACGGCATGACTCTAAAGAGACTTACAGATAAAAGATTAAAAAGAGGCAGTATGGGTGGCAAGTTGAGGAGAAGTGACATTGTTAGTATGAAAAGATGATAAGTGATTGAGACAGGCCAAGAATATATCAGGTCAGGACTTGCAAAATGTACTTTACTAAATGTAAGCTCACTTTCGGGTTTGGATAAAATGAGAATACAAATCTCTGAGGAGTCACCAAACTGTGGAACATGGAAAAAGGCAAGTGAAAACGAGTGAGAGTAACAGACAGTCTACATTGTGTATGCTATCATACATGGCCTAGCAAGGTATGCTGAAGATCTACTCTTCCTACAACATCTGGAGGGGAACTTTCACAGGCGCTAAACTATGGTTCTCTTAATTTAATGTGCGCATGAATCTCTTTGGCAGCTTGTTAATAAGCAGATTGCGTCTGGGGTGGGAACGAAGAGATGGCATTTTCAACAAATTCCCAGGTGATGGGATTGCACTACACTTCACACAGCAAAGTTCTAAATCATGCTGATCCAGGCTATAGTTTTATTTGCATTATGGTTTCATTGACAACTAGCTAATTTCTTCAGTTACAGAAGCAAATGTCACATACCAAAAAAGCAATTCAAGGAAAAGACTAGTTCTTTTAACCCTCATGTTACACAAACCAGAAACTCTACCTTGCTCCTAAACCTATTAATTCTAGAAAGTTCCTGAACACAGTGAACCCACCAACCTCTGATTATTAGTAACATTGGCAATAGTTTGACTATTTGTCATTTCATATGTATTAGAATAAGAGAAAAATCAGCTAGGGATATATTGAGCACATTGCAAAATGGAAGTGAAAGTCAGG